ATTGGTTTTCCCCCCCCCCCCCCCCCCCCCCCCACACACTCCTGTTAGCATAGCATATATGGCCTTGTCATCAGGGAAAGTTTTACCATAATACTGATATAGTTAAATTGGTATAAGCAAGGCTTGCCAAGCGTTGGTGAGCCCCGCTCGCCAGCCGCGTGGTTTCGCGCCGTTCTGCACATGTGCAGATCGCTCTTCGCCGGCTCTTCCGGGTTGTAATCTGCTCGCCACAGGCGAGTAGATTACATTTTGTCGAGCCATGGGTATAAGCCTCTGGACACTCTTATTCTGATATAAATATTTTTTTCTAGTTCAGCCTCAAATCCTTCCCCATTGACATAAGATATATTGAGGAAAGGCCAGTCAGTATCCACATGGGAAGTTAGATTGATGTAACTATATCCTTTTAAATTCACACATTAGATTATACCCGAAAAAAAACTAACTTATATAGACAAAATCTTAGCCGCACACTAGGCCCCAAATTCTTCTGAAAATGTTACCTTGGTCTGCCAGCTGGTAAGTGAGCAAGTATTTCAAGCCCTGGCTAAAGGAATGGTTTTATGGTTATATGCTCATTTCCTTAACGGGATCGGTGTTCCCTCTAAGCTGAGCTATTGGGTGACTGCCCAAGAGAGATTCAGATGCTACCCAGCTGATTAGCAGAGTGCCCACAGCCAGCAGCATGTGTTTCTATGGGTGGTGCACAGCTGCACATGCCTTGGTGCACATAACAAAATGTATTCCACACATGGATAGAAAAAATAAAGGAAACATTGAATGGGATAAATATCTATGATTATATTTATTATTAATCAATATTACAGTAGCAACCAATGACCCCAGTCTACAAGGGGGTCCCATTGAGCTTGACACCACGTGTGCGCGCTCTCTCTCTCTCACTCACACACACACACACACACACACACACACACAGATATATTCATGTTTAGCCAGTCCCTGTTGATTAGCAGGTGGTGATTATTATTATTTTTATTTTTAATACTATTTGTGGCTCACCTACAGCATGCTAGTTAATTTACACGTGAAAACAAGTTCCCAGAAATAGATAGTTTGTAAATTAATCCAACATCTGATTCATTGTGCACTGAAGTCCATGGAAAGACTCCTATTGACCTCACTGGGCTTAAGGTCAGATCTTACATTGTAAACTCATGAGCATTTAGAATTATTTTTGTTTAAGAGAAAACTTTCACTCAGGAAGATGGTGTTCAATGTGTTACTAACACTAGGGTTTATATAAGTTTGCCAGTGTTACATAAGATGATAATTTTGCCACTGAGATCACAGAAGTCATGGAATCCATGACTTCCAAAGACCACCTTGACTTCAGCCCATGGCAGCTGGGAGCTGCAGTGTCCCACTCTCTTCCACATTGTCCAGAAGCTTCAGTGGTAGAGGTATCTGGCTGCTGTGGGGGACCCCTGTAACTGCCAGCTGCCACAAATGACAGGGGGACCACGACAGCCTCTGGCCACTGTGGGCAACAGAGTATTCCAGCTCCCTGCCACTCTGGCAGCAGGGGCATAGCCACATTTCCCAGTTTCCCATGATGTTGCTCCTTGCCGCTTCCCACCACAGCGGTGGCAGAGGGACCTCTCTGCCACCATGGACAACAGGGGAATCCCCTCCCCCCCACGCCTCAGGAGGAACCCCACAGCTCCCAGCCTGGTTGAGGGGGACCCTGGAGCTGCAAGCCCACATAAGTGGTGAAGGACCCCAGAGCTGGCCAGAGGCTTTCCATTTTGTCATGCATATTTTAGGTAAAAGTCAGGGACAGGTCACACATTTCTGGGAAAGCGACGAGGAGTCCTGTGGCACGGCTACCCCTCTGATACTTCTGTGAATTTGTCTTTATTGCCCTTGACCTGTCCCTGACTTTTACTAAAAATATTCATGATAAAATCTTAGCCTAACTATAAGCAATCATTTGTGTAATGCAATTGCTAGTCTTTTCTGGTAGAGTACAGTAGAACTTTGTCTTTAGTTTTAAAAATAAAATTTCCCATAGAAATCACATGTGTATTTTTGTACAGGTAATGATGCATTTACCATTCGCCATGAAAAAACCAGCAAGTGCCTACAAATTAAAGACTCATGGATTGTAGTAGCAGATTGCAAGGAGACAAAGGAGACCTTGTGGAAATGGGTCTCTCAAAATCGCCTTTTCCATTTGGGATCTCAAAAGTGCCTTGGATTAAATATAGCCAAACCAGAATTGCCTTTGAAAATGGTTAATTGTGATTCCCAATTTATGCTATGGTGGCGATGTGTTGATGCTTCCATATATGGTGCATCCCAATACAAGCTGATTTTAAAGGACAATTTTGTGACAGCAAGTATAAATTCGTCTGACACATGGAGAAGAAGTAACTCCTCTGAAGATATTTGTGTTTACCCTTACCAAGGTAAGTCAGAGGTTTTAATTTTGTTCTGCATGATATAGGAGACATGGTAGTGAAAATCACCAATGATATGTGGGAATATGCCAATTCTATGCCCTTGGAAGACTGATAAAGTAAGGGAATGTTTGCCGCAGAGATGATAATGATGTATAGATAACTGCGAATTTGTAACTGCAAATTCGTAATGTACCATTTATTGATTGATTACAGCAAAATGTTGTCAAGGAAAATGTAAGTTTGGTACATGTACACCTATGATAGTGCCCCTTTCATATATGAAACACTATGGGCTACGTCTAGATTGTAAAAGGGATGCAAATTAGACGTATCGCAATTGCTAATGAAGCGGGGATTTAAATCTCCCCCACTTCATTAGCATAAAAATGCCTCCCCGGCTTTGCTTTGGGTGCCCCTGGTCTGCTGGAGATGGTCCCCAGCAGACCAGAGGCACCGGGAGCAAAGCCGCAGCGGCGGCGGAGTCCCTCGCCTCCCCGGCTTTGCCAAAGCAAAGCCTCAGAGGCGCGGGACCCCTCTGCCTCCCCAGCTTTGCTCCAGGTGTCCCTGGTCTGCTGGAGATGGTCCCCAGCAGACCAGGGGCACTCGGAGCAGCTTTTCTCGCTCCGGAGGTCGAGGTGGCGGGACCGCTGCGCTCTGGGCGGTCCCGCTGCCTGCGAGCTCCGGAGCGAGAGAGCCCCGTTCGAAAGTGCGGATCCGCGTAACTCGGGGACTGCCTGTACTGTGTTGTGCATTAATTGGTTCATATTGACTCTGCTGGTGCGCACTGAAGTTTTCCCTAGTACACTTTAAAGAGCACTGTTCAAAACTGTACTGTGTTAAATAGCACCACACAGATTACTCATACATTGTATATAACATGCATTACTCATACAACATATATAAAAAGAAAACCTCATCTACATTAAAATGCAAAAAATACTAAAAAGAACCTTCCAAAATGAAATTAATACACCCTGAATAACAGAAGCTCTTACGTATTATTATTACTTCATTTTTTATTTTCCATTGCAGTAGTGGCTCGAGTCAGGGATTGGAGCATTGTATGTGACAAGAGATGGATTTAACAGGTGCATGAGGAAATACATCATGACAATGAGTCTATTATGTTTAGAGTAAGAAAGTGGTTAAAGCACACTAGCTGTTTTGCTGTTGTCAAGTGTTCTGTGGGCATCATAGCAAAAGCAACATTTTTAGGAGTGGTTTAAAGGAGGGCAGTGTATAAGCTTCATACATTTTTACAGGGAGTTCCAGTCAGGCATACTCACTGAGCAGCTCGCCTCTGTTTGCCACTGTAGGAAGAGGATCAGCTTCCTTTCCTTATTTGAAAGTTTTAAGGAACCTCTGCCCACAATAGCTCCCAACACTGTTTTTAAAACTACTATTGCCATATTATCTGAGCACCATCACAACACCCAACTTAGGTAGGGAAGTAGTATTAGCCACATTTTACAGATGGAGGATAAGACATTGAGGGCATTTGCTCCCATTGACTCCCTGCTGTGTGGATGGGGATTTAAGAAAAAACTTTTCCGTTAAAAGCATTTGTGGAAAATCATGCCAGTCTAGACGTAGCCAAGTGTGTTCACAGAATTGCGGCCTAACTGACCATTCCAAAAGTATATAGTGAAACTGGCTAATGAACAAAATAATGAGTGGGGAGGAACAGAAAAATATTTTTCTTTCATCTCTTTTAGTTATGGTAGCATTGTTTATTATTTGTAACAGTATGATATGTGCAGACAGCAGTGTGACTTAGTAATTTTCAAGTAAACTTTCTCCGTACAGATAGTGGCTTTTTTTTTTATTATTTTTGTTACTCATTTCTTCCTCAGCAGACTTGCAAGAGGGGAGTTTTATGTTATTCATTTGGTATGATAGTTTTAGGTATGTTCAGATTTCTCTTTCAAATACTAAATCTGCTCTTTGGTTGCTTTTCTTACAGAGATCTACACAAAGGATGGGAACTCCTATGGAAGGCCCTGTGAGTTCCCCTTCCTAGTTAATCAGACATGGCATCATGACTGCATTCTAGATGACACGCACACAGGTGGTGAATGGTGTGCCACAACCTACGATTACATTCAGGATGGGAAATGGGGAATCTGCTTAAAACCAGGTATGTAGGTTTTCTGAATAGATATCCTAACAGAGTTCTGCCATTTCATGTGTTTACAGCTCCATTCTATGGTATAATATCTGCATACTAAACTCTTCAAACTCATTCTCCAATACTGGAACATTGATATAACAATCAACATAAATAGACTTTGTGTTATGAATGATTTTAATATACAACTAACATTTTTCCTTGCGTATTCCTCTGTATAATAATAATAATAATAATACTCACTAAAATGTTTGGAAAAACCCAAATGCAGTAGTTATTTTGCTATAGTCACCAGTATCTTGTGCTTGCATTAAACAGAGGATGGTTGTAGTGATAACTGGGAACACGATCCAGGATCTGAAAGTTGCTACCAGTTAAACACACAGTCTGCTCTTTCTTGGAAAGAAGCTTATATTTCCTGTCAAACGCAAGGGGGAGATTTACTGAGCATCACAAATACAAATGAATTAAATTATATACAAGGTAGGTATAAGTTATAACTATCTATAATAATTCTATAAAATTAATATGTTGACAGCAGAATATCTGACAAGTAGAATAGCTTCAAGAAAGCATGAACATGTTCTGTCACATGAGATCTCTTGGTGCTTGTAATCTGAATAATAGGAATGAATGACTAATCTATTTTCTCATATAGCTCATCTGATTGTTTTATAGTGTTTGTGATTAAAACCAGGGGTAAATAGACAGCATCCATGCAAAAAAAAGCTGACTAGGTCAGTATGATAGTTTAATGTCAGTGTTTTAAATGGGATCCAGGCTTGGATCTGGAAATATAATTATATGAATTCTAGCAGTGCACTCATTCCTTGTGAGGGAGGGTATCTTCTGCCATTGTCATGTAATCACATGTACAGCCATATAGGGCTTTATTCAGGCTTGGACTACAGGAGGTGTCACTGTGTCTTTGAGTGTGGGGAGAACAAAACAGTCAGTTTCTGGAGGGAACAGGTGGAAGAAAGCAACAGAATTCTGTAACACATTAAGGATTAGAATTTTACCCAGGATCCTTAACGTCTTCTTACTTCAGTAGAAGTTTAACATCCATATTCAATGCAAAAATATTTCTTTACTGGACATTTTTTTTTCAGTTAGCGCCTTAGTTTAAACCCAGCTGTTTAATGTCTGTAAATAGTTTTAATTAACCATTTAAATGATTAATTCCAGCTAAAGATGGCATTGCAGAGAAGTTTTGGATTGGCTTAAATCAGCTGGATATTTCTGGAGGCTGGCAGTGGTCAGATCACACACCCTTGAATTTTCTTAACTGGAATCCAGGTAACCATATTTTCAATTGTTGTGGGTATTTGAGTATCTTTGTTGTATAACTGAACATAAATACTGAGGCTAATGTTTGCTTCCTTCCCTTCCCAAAGTAAGTCTGTCTAGTCTTTTTGGAACTTAACTCTCTCTTTTTCCAGCTTACTGAATAGCCTCTTGTTCAATCAAATGATGGCCATTTGAGGAAGCAAGTGAGAAGACAGATAAGATGTGGCTTTTGTAAGAGTTTATCAAACTTATACAAAAGATAATAAAGTAGAATTTTTGATATTTGACACATGAAGTATTTCATGTTTTCATCATGTCAAAGTCTAAGGACCTAGCTTTACCACTTTTACATGAGCCACACCTTATTTGCGATTTCAGTGGGTCTATTTGCAAAGCAGAAGGCTACTTACAAGTAAAAGTAGCAGAATCTGTCCCCAGTTATCTGACAATACAAACCATGTAGCTCAAAAAATGAAACTTCTAAATGGTAGATGGAAAAGACCAATACATTACAACCTGACCACTTCGTGTTCAAATCCATAGGAAAACTCCCAGTAACTTCCAAGTCTGTAGGATTGAACCCTTAATCAGGAAACCAATTTATTCTTCTTGAATGATTACTCATGTCCATTCAACGTAGGTGTGTGTGGTATCTACGTGCACTGGTGCTGGAAAATTTTTCCCTCAACAGTATCCGTAGGGTACTGGATCCCACCATGCCCTGGAGTGGGGCATACATGTCACGCTATACAGGGAGATCCCAGGCCTCTCCTTCTCCAGGTCCTCCTTGTTGCCAGTGACTGTGCTTGGAACTGCGCTGCAGCACTCTTCATATTTCCCTCTTTTCAAATGGAAATAGGTTTAATTCCTGGATAGTTGTTGTTTTTGTAAATAAAGTTTCATAGGCATAGCCATGTCAGTCTGTAACTGAAAAAAGTTAAACAATGAATAGTCTTGCAGCACCTTAGAGACTAAAAAAGATGTAGACAGAATCATGAGCTTTCATGGGCACAACCCACTTCTTCAGATGAAGTTGGTTGTGCCCACGAAAGCTCATGATACCCTCTACATTTTTTGTTAGTCTCTAAGGTGCTGCAAGTCTGTTTGTTTTATAAGTTTCTTCTTTGTAAATAGTTAGTCCCCCTGCTGGGACTCACCCCTGAGATGGGTCATGACCTGGTATCCCAGGTTTAAACATTGTGCTAACTGTTATAGTCCTATGCCTGTTAGTGACTTTCACAAAAACTCCCTCTGCTGCTTGGGTGAGGGTTATATAGCGAGTAGTGCCACATTTGTAGGTCCTTCCATCGTAAGACCTTGAAGGCTAGAGTCATCCAATTAAAGGCACTGCTGATGGAGTTGGCTTTGGCTCCGCAAGACCAATGGTCTTACACAGCACCAAGCACCAGCATCCTGGTATGGAGCACCCACCTGGTACCAACAGCATTTTGGAACCAAAAGTGTTCAGTGATCTGAGTGAAGCAGGATAGAAGACAAGACCCCCAGACCACGCAAGACACAGCCCAAGCTGGTGTCAAACCAGGGCAAGGCATGGGAGAAGGCCCTGCAGCTGAAGTGGGTTGACCCACAGGGCTCTGTGCCCCTGTTGCTGACTATTCAAGTCCCCTCCACCCCAGAGGCATTCCATGCAGTGCAGGACATTATCACCTTGTCAGTCCTGCCTACGCCCTCCGCACTGGGGCCTCGGCACAGGAGAAAGCCTTTCCAGTGAGGTTGCTTCGGAAAGCACTCTGTAGCCCAGCATGCCCTGTCAGAGAGAGGCAAAGGTCAGGCTTGAGAGCCAGAGCTTTGCCCGAGGTGGAGTGTAGACCATGAGGGATACGTGTTGCCCAGCAACAGTCACTCACTTTTCCAGTGGAGTAATTCGTGAGACAGGTCCCCGTGAAGTCGATGCCGCTCCCTGCACCGGGACTATCGCATGGCATGAGGTTTCCAGGATCTGAGAGAATGTTCTCCAGGTCCCACTCCTCCTGGCACTGGAGATCTCAGTGTTGCTGGTCCCCGCCATGGCCAAGCAGGACCAGGGGCTGCTTCTGGTCTCCAACTCACAACCACGGGCGCTCCTCTCAATCCCCAAGGTTGACACCTCCTGGCACCTCAGGATCGGATACTCCAGCCCCTGGGCTTTGGTGAGTGTCAGGTGTGTGGGAGTCCTCTCAGAACAATCTTCTCTCCCACTGGTGTAGGCATTGGTACTGAGACCCGAACCACCCTGGCACCACAACCACCCCACAGCTGTCACAATGGCTGCAGGCACCATGGCATTCACAATGGTGCCCATGGACCCCGGGGGGTTTCCTGATGCAGCCGTAAGTTACATGGTTGGTAGCCAGAGTTTCTGAGGTATGCTCCAGACCACTGGTTAGCAGCCCCCGGCACTGGATTCAGCTGGATCAGGCATCCCAATGGGCAGGAGGAGGTGGAAGACCAGCAACCACCAATAGAGGAAGAGCAGTCATCCTAGGCCTCGTCGTCTTCCTCACCAGTTGAGGCGATACTGGCACCCCCTCCTCTGGTCCCACAGGATGACAATAGGGTGCATCAGGACTTCTTGGCTGATGACCTGGATCTCTAGATAGAGGAACCACCCACCAACACCCTTTTTGACATCCTTAGGCAAGTGGCTCCAGCTAGGGTCGCCTTCCCACTATTCAAAGGGCTTACCAAGATAGCCAAGGCATTGTCCCTATCCTCCTGGTTTCCTTCAATATCTAAGAGGGCGAAACACAAATATTTTGTCCCTGTCAAAGACCATAACTATTTGTATACCCACCTGACCCCAAACTCACTTGTGGTAATCCGTTAACCACAGGGAGAGCCAAGGTCAGCCCGCTCCACCCCCCAAAAATAAGGATTCTGGACACCTGGATCTCTTTGGACCCAAACTTTTTTAGTCTGATACTTCCAGTTGTATGTGGCTAACCAGGAGGCCTTGATTGTCTGTTATGACTTGAGTATGTGGTAATCAATGGCTAAATTTGAGTCCTCTCTACCGGAGAACCCCAGAAAGGAGTTAAAGGCACTGGTAGAGGAAGGGGCCATGGCAGCTAGAGCTCCAAGCAGCATCAGATGCTGCAGACTTGGTGGCCTTATCCGTGGCCTTAACCATCTCTATGTGCCTGTTGGTGTGGCTCCTGCTCTTAAGTTTATCCATGGAGGCCCAAAGCTCGCTGGAGGACCTCTCCTCCTATTGGATGGTCAGGCCCTGTTTGCAGAGAACAGACTCTAAGTTGCACTGCTTGAAAGACTCTAGAATCACTCTAAAGACTCTGGGTTGTATGTCCCAGGAATGGAGAGGATGTTACCAGATCAGAATATCCCAGACCACAGAGATTCAACCTGTATTGAAATACTTGTTGTCTCGCTCATTATAAAGACAGAAAAATTTGATGATAAAACATAAAATTGTGTCTATTACAAAACGATTTCTGTGGCAAATGTACTCATTATTCTTTCATTTTGTTTTTACTGTGCTTACTGTATTACTGAACAGTAGATTGGTGTTTTTTCAATTTAAACACCCATGATCATAAGAGCAGGTATTTGTACCTAAGCTATCACTAAACATATACAAGGAAATATAAACGTTGACTTTTATTTCAATTATTTAATTACAATTATTTTATCTGTTGGCTTATGTCACAGCTTAAATTTTACTTGTATTAATTGTAGTTTAGATGGAATATTCTGCTAGGTCTTGTAATTAAAGTACAGGAGTAGGAATGAGGATTTCTTGCTCTATTCTTGGTTCTTTCAAAAGGCTTTCTATCTGAGCTACTGTAAAACAAGTCCTGTAGGCCAAAGACTGTATTGCATTGTGATCCTCACATTGAAAATACTACAGAAATACAGAATGTTGTTGTTGTTGTTTTATTATTATTATTATTATTAAATCAAAAAAGTGTGAGACAAAAGAAGCATCATCTTCACTTTATATAAATATGCACTCTTACCAATAGTTCTTTCTCTCCACAGACATGCAAAATATTTCGCCCTTGGATGGGTCAAGTTGTGTGGCGATGAATGCTACCTCGGGTCAATGGCAAAGTTATTACTGTGAGACTGCACTTCCATATGTCTGCAAGAAGCCGCTTAACAATACCAAATCAGAATTACCAGGTAATCCATCATCACACATCTGTTTCTGAATAGTATATAGTGATATGAGAGTAATATCCACTGCTGCTGTAGTCACCTTCCAGTGTTTAAGGTCCTCTTCTCACTCTGACCACATCAGCCTCCCTTCCCAAAATCCCATTGCACTGACATAAACCCAGAATTGGAAGCCAGGAACTGCTGAGTTGGTGTCTGACTTTCTGTATAATCTTTACCTCTCTTATACTTGCTTCAGAGGGATGTGCTGAGAGGTAGTTAATATTTGTACAGTGCTTTGATGAGTTAAACTAGAGAAGAACAAAGTGTTAGGACACTATCCTCATTACCATGGTGTCTCCTCACCTCCTATATCTAAACTGTGTCCCCTTGTTTGGTTTTGTCTGAGTTCATATGAAAGCTCTTTGAAGTAGGGTCTCTATGTCTTCTCTCTTGTTTTATAAAATACTTTGTGTAGTGTCATAAACATTCAGTAAGCTTTTAGGAAATAGTATGTTTACTCACTGTAAATTCCATCATACAACTTGCAATTATTTAAAATGTATTTGTTTTTGTGTCTTTTTAAATCAGTAGGGCTGAACCTCATTGGAGGTTGAGCCTTTTTACAGAAACCTACTTAGGAGAAAAAGATAGTAGGCACTCCAGGGCTGAGACTGGGAATTTTTGTATGTTTTCATAGCATTAATCTTGAATGAGGCTATTCAGTGATATACTGGCTGCTAACAATGACGTAGCATTGCTTTTAGCTGCTTGGCTGTGTGTGCTAATGTAATTTTGAGGGAAGATGTGGCTGGGGTTTTGTTGTTGTTGTGTTTGGGGTTTTTTTTTTTTTAAACAAACACCTTTTGCTTAGTTAGAGTAATAACTTTTACTTCCCACTGCAACTAGCTTTTGTTTCTATGCCCCTTTCCTACCACTCATAAATCTTACTAATCACTATTCTAGTTTTTCCCCTCCTACAATAGCTGGATTAATGCAAGCCCCAAATGTTTCTCTTTGATCCTTGGCTTAGATTCTAACATTGTAAGAGCGACATTACTTGATTTTATTAACATTACCGCTCTTGATTTTATTAACATTACTCGTTTTACTTTAAGTCATTGATGTTTGTAATAAGTGTCTGACACACAGGAATTCTTGTAGAGACTGGAGTTTCCTCTGTGTACTTCTTGCTTGGGGCAATATCTGTGCTGTGAGACGAGAACTTGAACAGTAACACTGAAGTGGATCTCTTTCAATTTGATACCATTGGGGAGCTACCCTTTTAAAATGGTCCCCTCGTCGTCTTGAATCAGAGAGTACAATATGGGTCACTGGTGTCAGAGAAGGAGGAAATAATAACATTTACCTGCTGGGCGAACACATTCTATTTGCTCTGTTTTGGAAGCTTTGAGATTCTGCAAGAAAACATTGTGTAAACTGAAATTTTGATGATAATCCGTGTAACTCACATGGCACGTTCTCTTCATTCTCAGATGTTTGGAGGTACTTGGAGACTCAATGTGATTCAGGCTGGCTTCCATACAGTGGTTTTTGCTATATGCTGATGAATAACCAAGCTTCTTGGAATATGGCAGATCAGTCGTGCAAAGCAAACAAAAGTGACCTCATTAGCATGCATTCTTTAGCAGATGTTGAGCTGATTGTTACAAAGCTTCATAATGGTAAGTCTGGATAGTTAATATAAAGGGTCAGTGTTTAAGTGCTGCTGGCTATAAATGCTAAATTACCACAAATTTGCTTTTAGCTTTTAAATGGAGTTAATAGATTATGGTTTGTAACCAACTGTCAGGAAGTGACCTCACTTCCACTCATGTATCATCATAGTGACTATTTCAATGCAGTTCCAGTTGGACCATGTTAATTTTGTTGGAAGAGTAAAATGAACAATAACTGTAGGAGCCCAGAAATTTACTGTCAGCAGGTTGAGAGAGAGCTATAAGGCCAGCTCCTCAGTATGTCTATCTTGGTAGATTTCCATTGTCTTCAGTAGTAATAGTATGTTGATTTCAGGGGAGTAAACTGATTAATGTTAGCTGAGGAACTGACCTGTGAATATCAGCCTCTTTGGAGAAAAAAATAGTTTCCTCAAAAGTTGTTCAGGGTTGCTTACTCTGCTTTATAGTGGCTTATTTTTTCTTTGTGTTTTCTTTGATGTTTTACACAGGATGATGATAGTTCTTCATTCAAATCTAAGCAGTTACTTGAGTTATGTGACTATTGGTCATTGAGCTAGTAGAACTCTATTCTAGTCTTCATACTTGCATACTTCATTTTGCTAATACTGAGAATTATTTTGGATTAGTGGTAATTTTGCTTCTTTGTGTAAATGTCACAAACAAGCAGTTGCATATAATCATACATAATAAAAATAGGATTGTTAAAAATGCTTTGTTCAAGTCTCAGATCCTTGATGTCATTGTTAGAATGGGTATTTGAGAAAAATGCAGTGCAGACTAAGAAATAACACATTTTGGAGGGCTTCTATACTGTTTTTTTTGCATGCTGTTAAATTAATTTTTTTTGTTTTTATTTGCAATTATCTGACTTTGTAAGGGGTTTTTTTTAAAAAAAACTTTTAATCACCATTTTAACTTTTAGAAACTAAAGAGGAAATATGGACTGGTTTCATGAATGTGGATACTCCAGCTTTGTTTAAATGGTCAGATGGGTCCAAAGTAGTTTTCACTTACTGGGATCAGAATGAACCAAAAATTCCTTTTAACAGCACTCCGAATTGTGTATCCTATTCAGGAAAGGTAAGAACTGAGTGGTTTTTCAATCAAATAGTCTTATGTGATGCATGCAAAGGCTGAGAGCAAAATAACACCCAAATACAACTGATTCATCTTTGATATACACAGAAGTATAGGGATAATGAAATCAAATCTTTGTTTTAGAAATTATTATTTGACACTTTTTAAAAAAAGAAGATTGCTTGAAATTATTTATCCAAGCTTTTTATACTGTGTCATGAGTCTTCTATATGTATCATGGGCTGCAAGGGAATGGAAAAAACATGTTTTTAAATTCTCAGATTCTGCCACTAACAGCTGCTGATTTGGCTGCTGTTGAAGAGCAGCTAGTTGCTTCTCCATGTTGTTGTTTTCAGCCCTGCTCTTCCCTATGAGCTACCATTTACCAGCTCCTTTTTTACGTCTAGGTGACAGAGGGATAAGAGGGAAGGAGGTGGGCAGGTAGAGCTATAGAGAGGAGGAGCCAGCCTCAGTCAACCCCCAGAAGCTTGAAGCTCTGTGAGCAACTTAGAGTCCACCCTTCCTTCTTAGAAGAGGTACTGAGACACTTGGAGTGAAGGACAGAGACCAGGGCTGGTAGAGAATAGTAAAGGGAGTGACTGAGGGAGAGAGAAATCTTGATAACACCACAAAGATGCCAGAGTAGGGAGTTGGCCATGGCTTTTCCCCTGGAACAGATCCAGCAGCTATCCTGCACATACTCATGAAAGGGGGGCAATAGAATCCTGTGAGGAGGGAGAGGTAGCCTGGAGGAAGACTTTAGGGCCTGGCTGGAGCTGTCATGGATTTTTATAGCATCTAGATTTCTGCATGCATATCCAAACCAATTGCTTGAGCAAATTCTGAACTTACAGACTTTTCTCCATCAAAGTTTTTATCTGTACTTGTTTGTTCAATTATGGAATTTTACTTCATTTTGTGTGTTTGGGTAGCATTTCATCATTATGTGTTGAGGTAACAACACATGGGGAAAGGGCAGTTGGGTTTGGTGTTTGTGGGAACCAGTGTTCCTTCTAAGCTGTGGGGCAGCACAGCTTCACAGGTGATTAATCAGCCTCACCCGGTCAGTTCTGTGCACTGAGCTCTGAGCCTCTGGTGGGAAATACGTGGTGAACAAGGGGTTGCCACTTCTGTTGTGACCAGTGGAATTGGTGTCTTCAAGAGGGTCATAGGAGACCCTGGTCAACTTGGAGGCAATGAGGTATCCATGTAATTCTTTGGTAAAGAGCAGCTGAGAAGTGTATTGGAAGGAAATAGCAGGACATCTGGCTGACCAAGATCCCTCAAGCAGGTTTTTTACAGAGCTAGTAGCCAGGAAAATCTTTAATCTTTAAAGAAGTAAGAGCCAGGAAAGGCTAATTGAGCTTGGAGTCCCCACAACTTAAATTGGCTTATGTCTACGTCATAGCAATGATTTTAAACCAAAGTTTAAATAAGTTCAAATTTGAAAGCTTTTAGGAGTCTTTTATCCTCTTTTTTTTCCTTCCTTTCTAATAGTTGGGTCGGTGGAGAGTCAAATCTTGTGAAAAGAAACTGAAATATGTATGCATGAAAAAAGGAGAGATTTTGAATGAAACAATCTCTGATAAACACTGTTTCATCAAAGAGGTAATAATTTATAATGCCAATGATTTTAAAAACTGTGATTTTTTTTTTTTTTAACTTTAGTGTAAAAATGTTGCCTACATAAAATTACTCTTGTTTCTTCTGTTTTGGAGTTTTTAAGTTTTAAAAGAATGTCTCAAACATTGAATAGTTCTAGCTTTTAAAAGATACATTCAAGTAGTTTGGACCCAAACCTTACTTTCATTTAAAATTCTCTTAACTGGTTAGGGATTATCTTTTATAAGTCTTACCCCCTGTGCTTATTGAGAAGTATATTGAAATGCTGGCAGGCAATTTAGGTTCAACATGTAAGCTCTGACACATTTCTTTATTTTAAAATGGATTTTAGAAGCCCTAACGTTAATAGATGCTTGCATTAACTCCCTTTTGGGTTTGTTTTCATTTTGTTTTAATTCAATAAAAGCAGTTTTTGTTTGTATTTAAACATTTCCGTCTAGTGTTTGTAACACACAGAACTAAGGCATTGTGCTGGTTCATAAATAAATAAAACCTAGAAGTGAAGCTGTATTAGAGTGTGACGAGAAATATAAGTGAAACTAGCCTATATTTGTTCTCCCACCTGAACAAAGTCCAAAATATATAGCAAAGATGTTATAAAGTAAATCCGTTTTAATAACCCAGGGGTTATCTTATTAGTAAGACAGCTAAGATATTTCTGATTTTAAAAAATAGTTTCTAACTTGAATCCCCAATAAAGAACACCTTCGTGCTCTAAGGTGTCTTTCTGCACATCCTTCTTGTATTTTTAAACTGCTACTGCAGAGACTGTTAGCATGAATGGAAGCACAATGATGTAAGACTGAAAGGTACCTTGAGACATTATCTAGTCCAGCCCTGACCCCTTTGAGTCAGGCCATTGTATACCTATGCCATCCCTGACAGATGCTTGTATAATCTGTTCTTGAAATCCTCCAGTAACAGGGATTTCACTATCTTCCCTGGAAGCCTAGTCCAGTGCTTAACTATCCTTATAGTCAGAAAGTTTTCCTAATATCTAATCTAAATCACCCTTGCACTGCAGATTCATCTGATTACTTCTTGGGTGGACATGGAGAACAATTGATCTCCATCCTTTTTAAAACAGCCCTTACACTCAGACCCAAGTCTCTCTCTGTCTCCAGACTAATCAGTTTTTATAACCTTTTCTCATAGGTTTTTTAACTCCCTCCTCCTTTTTTTTTTTTTTTTTTTTGTTTCTCTTCGCTGACTGTCCAGTATGTCAACATTCTTTGTCAAGTGTGTCTCCCAGAACTAGACACAGTACTCCATCTGAAGCATCATCAGTGCCAAGTACAGTGGGAAAACTTCTTCATGTCTCTTATGTATGAAACTCTTGTTAATACATCTCAGAATTATATTAGTCTTTTTTGCAAGTGCATCATGTTGTTGACTCATATACAATTTGTGATTCACTATGACTTCTAGCTCCTTTTCAGCAGTATTACTTGCTAGGGATTCCCCTTTTTCTAGTTGTGCATGTGATTTTTTTTTTTTTTCCCTTTCCTAAGTGAACTACTTTGTATATTTATTTTTTGTTTGTTGAATTTCATCTTGCTTTCAGACCAATTGTGTAATTTGTCAAGGTCATTTTGATGTTCTTCAAAGTACTTGTCACTCAGTCCCAGCTTGGGATCATCCAAAAATTTTATAAGCAAACTCTCCATTTAATTATCCAAGTCATTAATGAAAATACTGAATAGTACTGTAACAAGGACTGTCATCCTGCAGGACCCCACTAAAGACACCCTGTAATCTTGACAGTGAACAATTGAAAATTACTCTTTGAGTACAATCTTTCAACTAGCTATGTACTCAACGTATAATAATTTAATCTAGACCACATTTCTCTGGTTTGCTGATGTGGGACTGTGTCAGAAGCCTTATCTTGATTGTAATATCACAACTACTGCTTCCTCTTGGTTCATTAGGGTAATCCCATCAGAGAATGGAAATTTGGTCTGGTATGGTTTGTTCTTAACAAATCCATGTTGGCTATTACTTATCCTATTTACTCTAGGTATTTACAAATTGGTTGTTTAATAATTTGTTCCAATATCTTTCCAAGTATTGAAGTTCTCCTGACTGCTCTATAATTCTCCAGGTCTTTTGTCCTCTCATTTGAAAGACAGGTGCTGTTTGCTCTTCTCCAGCCCCCTGGGACCTTACTCATCCACTGTGAATTCTCAAAGATAAATCACTAATGGTTCTAAGATCACTTCAGCTAGTTCCTTAAGCACCCTACCGTGAATTTTGTTAGGTCCTGCTGACATCAGTGTATCTAATTTAGCAAAATATTATTTCCTTATTCTAGCTTGTGCCCCTTCTCTCTTGTTTAAAATTAATTGGGTTATATATTTGGACTCAATTTTTAAAGGTATTTAGGCATTGCTACATTCAGCATTGCAAAGACTAACTGACTTAGGAGCATAAGTCTCTTGTTTTCAAAAGTAATTTGGCACTTAGGAGTCTAAATCAATGGGATTTAGAATCCAATCTTGTTAGTCAGAATTAAGTCTAAAATTGCTGCCCCTTCCTCTTCTCCCTCCCCCACTTCTTCTCCCATTACTTTTCTAAAGTAAGAAATAGTTCCCAATACATTCCAAGAACTTAATGGATATTTTGTGTTTTTCCAAGCTACATTTCCAGTAGATGTCTGAGTAGTTAAGGTGTCTCATTACTATAGGTCTTGTGCTTGGGATATTTCTGTTACTTGTTATGAGTGCCTCTTCTACCTCCGCCGGCTGAGTTGATGGTCTGTTGTAAAACCCGTATCATGATATTACCCTTGACTTTTCTTTCTTCCTTTTGTCTTCAACCAGAAACTTTCAAATGATGTGACTCTCACTTCCTTCAGGATCTCAGAGCATGTGAATACATTCTTGATGCCTAGCGCAACACCTCTTCCTCCCGCCATGTTCCTGAATGAGCTATTCCCCTCTAAATCACTATTCCAGTCTGTTCATAAATTGATGCTACAAAACATTGCATTTTTAAAAATAAACATCTTAAAAATCCCAAGCTCATTAGAGTCAGTGGCTAAATTCCCATTTATTTCAGTGAGGCCAGAATTTCGCTCTAGTATCAATGTTTGACAAACAGTAGTCAGTACTCTTCCTACACTGTGCTGCACACACAATGGTCCATTTTTATTCCTGAGTCTGTATTCTCTTTTGCCTTGTTTTCCCAAATGCTATAGGCCTGGGGCTTGATCATGACATTTACTTAAAGTAAAGGGATCTGGTGTAGGATAGTGCTCATGTTCTTTCTTCTCTGGCTGAGAGGGTGAAAAATTTGTAATACCCTGACCTTTGGTCTTTTAAGTAGTATGTTTGTGCATGGACATCAAGCAGTGGTGTAATGATTTATTTTGGGGAAGTAGGTTGAACATACTGTCAGAACTTGCCTGCAAAAATATAAATGTTTCATTCTCTAAACTTGTAGGGATGGCAGAGACACGGAGACTTCTGTTACAAGATCCATAACAATAAAGTATCATTTGGAGCTCAGTGCAATCTTACAATAATGAACAGGTACAGCCATGTATCTATATATTGTATTACATTAGATCTTAGGTGCTCCAATCAAAGAGGTGTTAGGTACAGTAAAGACAAGTAATAAGACAGTTTCTACCCTAAAGAGCTCATAAGCTAGGTTTACATGACATAACAGTTGGTGGTGGGAGGACAAGGTAACATTCAAACAAGAGTGATATTCATGGTAGGCCGTAGTGTCTGCTTACCACCTGTCTAGTCATTATCAGCTGTTAATATATTTTAAGCAATTCAAATTTGCATATTTAGAAATTATATGATCTTAATGTATAGTATGCATCAACCGCCTCTTATAGCCATTTGGACTTACCCATCTGCATAGTGAAGAGAATATCCCTTCATTTTGAAATTGATTTAATAGTTGGAAATATCCTTGTAACCCCTCTCTTCAAAATACATTGTGACTATTACAGGTTTGAGCAAGAATTTATAAATAGTTTGATTGGAAAATACAGTAAAAGTGAAGACAAATACTTCTGGACAGGATTACAAGATATCAGTCGTTCGGGAAAGTATACCTGGGGTGATGTAGATGGGAGAAAAAATGCTGTGATGTATGCAAACTGGAATTCCTTACAGCCAGGTAAAATATTTAATAGTTAAGAAAAATAAATAACCATGATAAGGTGCATTTGTATTTCACAAGATTGGTACAACAGTAATTAAAAAACCAGTGGACTTTCTGAAAATCAGCAAGGAGATTTTAAATGTTATCTTTGTTTATTAAAATCTTAGCATTTCCAGGAGGATGTGTAGCAATGTCGAGTGGGAAATTTCTTGGAAAATGGGACGTCAAGGATTGTAAAACCTTTACAGCCTTGTCTATCTGCAAGAACTATACAGGGCCTCCCAGGCAACCAGAAGTACTTCCTAAGCCAACTGACCCTTGTCCTCCTGGATGGAAAAATGGATCAGGCCTTGCCTGTTATAAGGTAAAATACATCTTCCCATTAAATTCCATAATTCCTCTCTTGCAGCCATTTGTACGTATATGTTAATGGCCAGTTTGTGATTTTAAGCATTGCTATGGGAAGTTTCAGAGAGACCATACTGCACCAGAAGCCCAAAGAAAAATTCTTGCTGACTCTGGCCAAATTCCTCCAAAAGCTCTTAGGCAAGGCACACTGGACTTATCAACTCTACCATCCTTTGAAAGGTGCAGCATGCAATCCTCTCCATGCCAGCATTATTGCCATTGCTTCCCTTTCAGGGGTCTAGTGCTGTTGGTGACACTAACAAGGAGTGTTTTCATTCCAGCCTAGCTGTTATACAGCTTCACAAAGAAGGCACTTGTCACTATGCAGCTTTTTCCCTCTCACATCTCCTTGGGTACCACCATCTGAAGCCATGGATGGGGAGATTTGATTCTTCATCCAGGCTACAGGAATATGTGGATCTTGTGCCCCAAACAGCATAGACAAATTTCCAATTTGTATTTGCTGTTTTAAGATTGCTGAGTCAATTATCCATTAGCTAGAATGGCTTCATTGATCTTGATTTTAGAAACACTCTTTTTTTTTTTTTTTTTTTTTTCCCTTTTAAAAATCTTAATGGAATTGCTGAGAATCAAATCACATTAAAAAGAATGGGTTGAGTTACACCTCTTAATTTCTGGATTCACTATTTCGGATGCAGTATAAATTTTAGACAGTAAACTGGAGATCATATTATTGTTGCCCAGCTCTCAGCCCATCTGAGCATCCAACTTTTTAAAGTGTGAGTGGAATCCCTGCTCAGAGGTTGGATAGAGCTGGGAGGAAGGGCTGCTGAGAGTAGGGTGGAGGGAAGTAACCCAGCTGGCCAGAGTGGGGCTCAGGACATAGGTGGGAGTAGGCTGGCTATAGCAGGGCTTAATGGTGAAGTTGGGAGGATAGAATGGCTTCCATGAAAAAGGAAATGTGCAATGATCTAGTGAATTTGTGCCTGTGATATGTTACTGCTGGTGGAATTGTAAGCCAAAAAAATTAAAAATGCTGTGCATAATATTTTAAAATTCTGCAAAAATCTTCATAATTTGTCAGAATAATTCAGTATAATCATTCCAGTTTCAATCATTTTGGTAATTTATTCCAGATTACCTGTCAGCAAGTAGATCTGTGACAATACGTTCAACAAAAAAGATTCAGGAAATGTTTTTTGACAAATAGATTCCTTACTAGGCATATTGAGACATAACTCTTGAGTAATAATTCATTTAAACAACAGTACAAAACCATATTTCCACACCCCTCAGAAGCAGTGCAAAGGCTTGGGGGAGGCAGAAGTAATGGGGGAGCCGAGAGAGATAACAGTAAGTTGCTGAGAGAGAGCCTGGCTGTCAGCTTGGAGGCCTGTTGGATATTAAGTGGGGAAAAGGATGGAACCAGGGTTTTGTTTTTTGTTTTTTGTTTTTTGGCAAGAGGCAGGGAGGAATTGTTAAGGAGCTTCCCCTATGTAGGCCCTGGCTGATCCTCCTAGCCCAGGAGTGGGCAATAATTTTTGATGAGGGGCCACTCTAAAGTTTTTGGTAAGTGCTCAAGGGCTGCACTTTTCTATGGAAGGGTGCAGGATTTGGATGGAGGTTGGGTGCAGATGGAAGTCTGGGGTAGGGAGACTAAGGTCTGAGAGAGAGTTTGGGTAAAGGAGGGGGTTGTGACCTGAGTCAGAGGATTGAGGTGCAGCATCCAGGAGTGGGTATGGGCACAGAGAGGAGACTGGCCTGTGAGAGGGCTGTAGGAAGGGGTGCAAGGTCTGGGATGGAGTTTTGACCTGGGGTGGGTGGGGTTTGGATGGTGACCTGAAGCAGGAAGAGGTGATGAGCTTGGGTAGGGAGTTGGGGTGCTGGAAGGAGTGGGGTATTAGAGGCAGGCTCTGGCTAGGAGGCTCTTATCAAGGAGGCTTCCAGCCTGGTGGCGTAAAGGGACTGGGAGCTGCTGCTGTTGTGTGCCACTTTGCCCTGGGTGGACAAAAGGTGCAACTGCAACAACACTTTGACAGCATTTTTTCCTGGGAGGGGGAAAAAATGGAAAGCTACAGAGCTCATTCAATATGTGCATTTGCACTAGCACATCCCAGGAGTAGGTAGCAGCAGAGGGTGGCTGAAAGCTTTCTCTCACTGGAACATTCTGTTGGCCTGATTTTAGTATTGCTTTTCTGATAGTCACCAAAATCCATATGTTTGTCTTTCTTTTTCCTATTTAGAACATTGCTTGACATTTTGGAATTTACCAAATGCAGTTTTCCAAAATTCTTATGGTACATACAGACAAGAGGAGAAGTACCATCTAGTTGAGTGTAGACCAACAATATATGGACCCCAAAATCCAGAGACTCCAGTGATTGCCGCAAATAAAACGGGGGGTGGGGAGGATAATTCCATTTTTTTTAAATAGAGAATTTGATTTCAAACTTGTTCTTTATCTTCTTCCCCAGAAAGAAATGATTATTTCCTATAAATAGTGCCCATATTTGAGTAGGATGATAGAAACTAAATAGTGCTGCCACTGAATGCTGCCACTGT